TTTTGTATACGAACAAACAAACAAATAAAACTTTATAGGTTTATAAATAGATAGATAGATAGATAGATAGATAGATAGATAGATAGATAGAACGATAGATAGATAGACAGACAGACAGACAGACAGATAGATAGATAGATAGATAGATAGATAGATAGATAGATAGATAGATAGTAGGGGTGTAATGGTACACAAACATGACGGTTAGGTATGTACCTCGGTTTTTATGTCACAGTTCGGTACAGTTTCGGTACAGCAGGGGGAAAAACTAAACATAAAACTGTTATTTTTTTTTATTAGACAGTGGTTTACTGAACAAATTGCTATAATAATAAAATACATTCAGTTATAATTCAAATTTTCTTAGGGATAAAAATCTACCTTGGCTTATGCTCTAATGAGCCCTTTTACATTAGGCCTACTAGCCTATAAGGTTACAGTTAAAGGTGGGGTAAGCGATTTTTCAAAAAAACTTTAGAAAACTGATTCGGGCCGACTAGCAAAACAAACTTGTAGCCAATCAGCAGTAAGGGGTGTGTCTACTCATGATGTGGAGCAGAGAGCGTTCAGTGCACAGCACAGGACGGACATTAGCGAGCCTAGCGACAGAAAGATAGAGATGGCGTATAAAAAACAAAAGAGGAAAACGTCTGCGGAACAAAAGAAGGCTTAAGGCAAGAAGTAGGACCCGTGTAAATATCGGATCAGCTTTCCAGCTCTGGAGAGAACTCAAGGAGCAGAAGGCCTGCGATCGGACGCTGAGGTTGCTTTGTTTCTTCTCGATAGGTGAGTAACACCGTGTCTGCGCCGCAACAGCTAAAGTCTGTCTAGTACACTGGACGCGACAAAGCGACCGTTGAAAATCATTTGAAATTTGTGTCAATACGTCATAAATAGAACGCAGCAGCAGTTCCCCTTCGGGAACTCGAGCTGCCTCGGAAAACGCTAGGGGAACGCCTTCAGCGATACCAAGCTCTGAATCATATGTGTAATCAGTCCAATCGATGGGCGAGACATCAGAGGTGGGTGACGTCATGACCAGGAAGCTTTAAAAGCACGTGAGGTGCAGCCGGCGTTAGCTTTCTGTCATTCAGCAAAGCTCTCTGTGTGTGTCGGTCACGATCTATGTTCTGTGAGTCTTATTTATTGTTGTCTGTCCAAAAAGTTACACAAGCATTCAGCAAAGAAAGTATAAAGCTCCAGCAGAAAATAAGATGTCTAAAGTAAAGACAAAGAAGGGTGAAAGCAGATCGCGTTATAGACTGTGTGTTCCTCCCTGCCCACGCTACATCACGATTGGGGACACAGTTTATGTGTGGTCTGCTTGGGAGCGGAGCACGTGGCGTTGGCTCTCGAGGGGGCTGACTGTCCGCATTGTGAGCAGTTGCCACAGCGTTTGCTTCGCTCCCGGAAGGCTCTCTTTGAGGAGGGAGCCTTCACCAGCGTTCCTCACGGTGCTGGCCCCGCTTCCGCCGAGGCGGAATCTGGTGGAGGGAATGGAGACGGGCGAGTCCCTATCTTCTTCCTCACCTGCCAGATCCACTGCCTACTTGCTGGGATCGGAAGCCCGTTCTGTGATTTCTTCCCCCCGGAGAGCAGGCTCGGCGCTTCTCCTATCTTCCTCCGAGGAGGTTGATGTGGAAAGCGTTGAGGATTCGCCCCCTCAATCCCCACAATATGAGGAGCTATTGGAAGTAGTTACTCGTGCGGTTGCCAAACTGAACATTGAACATTGAACACTGAACATTGCCCGCAGAGAAACGGGCTGAACCGCAGAAGAGTAAACTCGATGAACGCTTTCTGCGTGCTAATTAAGGAGAACCACTGATTTAGCTATCCGCGCCACCAAGGAGACCGCCCGTGCTATTGGGCAGTCCATGGCAGCTCTGGTGACAGCGGAGAGGCATTTATTGTTGACCCTGTCCGATATGAAAGAGAAGGACAGGGTCTGCCTTATGGATGCCCCGCTTGCGCCTTCTGGTCTGTTCGGCGACGCCGTCAATTCCGTCGTCGACAGTTTCAATAGGAAATACATCAATACAAAAAAGAAAACTGTCAAGGGAGAAAATCTGCAGAATTCTGCAGAAGAATTAAAATATGAAATACAAATAAAATCATTGAGGAGGCTGGGATGTGTGCCACTTTAATGTGAGCAATGGGTGAAAATCTGAAGGGCTTTTTGTAAAATTGTGTGCATGAGAACTATGAGTCACCGCTGTAACACATCTGAACAGACCATACAGCAATTTGTCACAGCTGGACCTGGTATTATCAGGGATATTAAGTACAATGGAGAGTACTGAAGGAAAAGCTTCCAATGCTGCAAAGAAAAGCCGTGAATGCACTTTCCACAAATTGGGTACAAATGATGGCTTGACTCTTTAAAAAAGTCCGTTTTGATTCTTTTTTAAACAAAGGGTAAGTGAAAGGAGGTGCTTTACCTTCAGAAAATGGCATTCGTCCACCTCAGGAGGTCAAGCTGCAATTTTTCATGTGCTATAATAATATACTCAACAGTAAAATTCATGTAAAATCTGGGAAAACTGAATGAGATTATTCACTTCCTGACAAGCTGTAGAAAGTGTCAGAATTATGTTGATTGCTGTGTGTCACAATTTTATGGAATAAAAGTAGTATTTTATGATGTTCATTTTATGTTTGACAGCATTATTTTAGTATCAAGATACTATTTTTTTTATATTTTTTAAATAGATCTACACAGTTTTGTTTATTTATATTTCTGTTTTAGTTATTTTAGTACATCAAGTTAAACAAAATAGAAATGAGAAATGTTGCTTTGGCAACTAGCTGAAATAAAAGTTAAAGTTTTTTTAATATATTATTCTGTTTTAGTTAATGTTTATTTTATTTTATGTAACATATTTTTTATGATTTTAATTTTAGTTATCTATTATAACACTGGTTTAACAATAGTTTGCCTAACATATGCAATCATCCTCTCCCCAAAGAATAAGAGATTTGTTGCGATTACTAATTCATACCCTATTTCTAAGTAAAATAACAGTTAGAGATATATATCCAATACAGATAATGTAAAAGAGATGTAAACAACAATCAATCAAATTTCAGTATGCAAATGAGGCAAGCACTGTAACAATCAAGTCAAATGGAAATTTTCCAGATTTATTGCTACATTTCTATTTAAAGTTACAATATGTCAGTATGTCATACAGTATGAAAAACAAAGTTGGATAGCACACCTAAGACTAAAATGATCTACAAAACAACTTTTGAATAGAGTTTGTACAAGCTCTTTTTGTTAAATTAATTGCTTAAATGTGTTGAAAAGAAGAAGAAAAAGAAGTGCTGTAAAGATGCATTCACACCATGTCGAAATTACCGTAATTATGAGTTTCTAGCTAGTAAAAAAATGGTTAATTCATGTCCTCGTCAAACGTATAATTACAAGCTGGAAACTTTTTAATGAATTTTATGAAAGCTCTTCTCCCACTTGACCGTGGTCAAGCCTGCCAAAAAAAAAAAACCTTCCCAGAAACTGTAGCTCACAAGCCGCTGGTTACAAAAGTATTTTTATTTATTTTTTTTTTAAATGGGCATGAAATGAAAACTCACTGTATCTGTTTTCTAAAAGCATATTATAGAGCTTATTGTGAACAATTCATATGTGCATGTGTTTAATTTTTAATTGTAATGGTTAATCAAAATATCATAACTAGATCTTTTGGTGACATCGACAGATTCTCTCTGGTGAAGGATGCAGGAATCCTCCAATCATTAGTCTGCTTTAAACTCTGCCCCTGCAAGCTCATGCTCATCTGCATATCATTTTGAATGCCACACCCACATCTCAACATCTAATCAACAACCTACACATAGAACCAAGGCTCCGCCCTACACTTTTTCTCTTTTGATAATCCATACATCACTTTACAGTAGAAAAGACCTGTCGCTACTTCAGTTTCATTGTGACTTTAATCCAAGAAATATTTTTACCTTTTCAAAAATGTTTAAAAAGTTTAAACAAGCAATACAACAAATGTAATAAACTGATTAATTATTGACAAATGTATCATTCGATTTATCATTGAATAAACAAATCAAAAAGTGTCAATTCTGAATGGTGTATTTCTACCATAAAAAGTATATAGTCAAACACATTAGTATTAAAATGCAAATGTCACAAAAATAACAATATAAAAAATTATGTGTATATTCTATTCTATTATTTATTCAGAAATCACAAAACAAATGAAAAATTAAAAATCAGTCAAGGAGTGTGGCTGAGAATATAAAGTGTGTTAAGTGCATGTTGAAATTTATAGTTAATATTTCAATAATTTAACAACACATTCACTTCACGGTTATCTGGAGTCAGTTACATGCAGACAAACAAATTAAAATATTTGTTGTTGTTGCTGTCAGTTTTATTGTAAAATGTGTTTATTTTAATTTTACAAATGTTAAAATAAAATATTAATTTAATATTATATGTATTTATTTTAATAGTATTACTATAAATGAATGTCATTATATTATATAATCATATTATATTATATAAGTAAAATTATTATTAATATAAATGTTAATTCAATTTAATATTAACTTACTATTATTTTAATGTAAATAGGTGAAAAAGGCCTGCACACTATGAAGCTGGAAAATGAAAGAAAACAAAACAATACAAAAGTTCCTTCTTCAGTGTCTACTCTTTTTTTTTTTTTTTTTAAATCTCCTAATTGTTTTTATCTCACATTTGCTTTTTTTTTACCCTCATAGTCTGCAGCCTTCTTTGTAATTTTCCGTCTATTAGTATTATTATTATGGCTATGCTTTTTGGACTTTTTTTTAGACATGTTTTTTGATTTCATGCTTTTTATTTTTATGTAAAATTAATTCGTTTTTAACACTAATTTAACATTTTATATTAATTAATTATTCGATTTCTATTTCATGTCTGTTGAAACCTTCACCGTATCACGGCACATTTATTCCATGAACACAAGTAACACCAAACTCACCATAGACAATCACTGTAGCCGTGGTGCTTCGTCTCTTAGCAACGATGTTCTTAGCGACACAGGTGTAGTTAGCGGTGTCAGAAAGCCGTGCCTGTTTGATGATCAGGTTATGATCGATAGTGATGTAGAAATTCCGATCATCTGCAGGATCGATAATCTCTTCGTTCTTCAGCCATTCCACCTGCACAGAGACAGAAAGATGAGAAGCCATTAGTGAAATCCATACGGCTACACCTGATGAGCCGTTCCGGGACTCGCAATATCAGGACGTCGTCATGCAATCTCTGTCCCGTACATGCATTAATTCCACCTATGCGTCTGAAATGATCAAACGTTGCAATTAGCTTCAAAGCTAACTCCTCAGGGCAAGACTGACTCAGAGCTTGAGCAATTTTGTAAAACGATAGCACACATTTTAGAAAAAGAACATTGCAGAGACATTAAAAGGGAATTGCATGCAGGCAAAAGACTTATGAGGATATTTTTGGACATAGTGTTTAATCACAAAAGTGGCCTGCTAATATCTCAAGGAAACATAGAGGAGAAACAGGAAGTGGCTGGTGGTTTAGCTTGAAGAGCATCTTGAGGACATCACAAAATCAAAGGACTTTAAACAGCAGAAAGTTCACTACACAACTGCCTTAAAAACATAACTGACCAATCACATCTCAACCAACCAGCTGTTGCCGACTGTCATTTTCTTATGCATTTTTAATGCAAGTTTCAATGCAAGGAGGATCTGTGTTTTGAAAATAATTTTACAGAAATTATGCGATATACTGCAGTACGTAAATAAAATTAAAAAGTGAGAAAAAAAAAGATTTGCCTTCATTCTGATTAACATTTTTTAATCAAATTATTCAAAATAATTCTAAAAAGCGCATAAATATTGGATAAAATAGTCAATTTTCAGTGGATATTTTTTAGCAATGCTATTGCTATCAGAATTAAATACTGAAAGAAACATATATGTATGTGTGTGTGTGTGTGTATACATACAGTATATTGTACACAAACACACACACACACACACACACACACACACTTTTATTGATTATTGATTAATCAATCAAAAATTAGAGTAAAGACTTTTACATTGTCACAAAATATATATTCATCAAAGAATCCTAAAAAACGTACCACGGTTTCCACAAAAATATGAAGTAGCAGAACTGTTTTCAACACTGATAAGCAGCAAATCAGCATTTTAGAATGATTTCTGAAAGATCATGTGACACTGAAGACTGCAGTAATGATGCTGAAAAATCAGCTTTGCATCAAATAAATAAATTACATTTTAAAATATATTCACATAGAAAACCGCTCTATGAAATGATAATTATATTTCATAATATTACTGTTCTTACTGTATTTTCGATTAAATAAATGCAGCCTTGGTGAGCAGAAGAGACATTATACTTTCTCCTGATAATTTTTTTTTCACTGAGTTAACACCAGTGCGTTCTGGGATTGTTTAATGAATGCAGCGCTGCCTTAGAATTGGTCCGAAATGAGGTTTCTTACAGGGTGGCATCATTATCCTGCCTACAGTTTGGAACAGCCAAGTCAATGATGCCTTAAAATGCTGCCTAGTTAGGCAGCTCACTAGGTTTACAACAGAGATAGTCATGTCTCCACATACAGAAACTGTTGAGAAGTCATCAGCGCTGCCGCTCAACGAGAACATAGCCTTCGCATTACAAGCTCTTCACATACTGTATACATCTGATGCATTAACGCAACGGTATGTCAATCAGGCGAGCGAGACGCAGACGCGTGTGTTTGCGTGTGTAAATGTGTCACAGCGGTGTACCTGAAGGCTGCTGAGAGCTCGTCTGGAGGGAATAGGGTAAAAATATCACCCTCTCATTGGCTCAGCAGGAGGGAAACTTACCCAATCAGCTGCTCATGCTCTCCAGCTGTGATAAACGCGTCACACATATTAGCACTCGTCTGTGCACGCACACTTCCCTATACATTTCACCTCATTACATCTAGCAAAGGTAACCCAAATCCCAGCTGTCAAACTAAACCTTCAGATTACTGTATTGAGTGCTATTGTCACCTCAACACACGCGCACATCTTTCTACAACAGCATTATCAGAAAATGAGCGCCTTCACGGCCCCACAGGTTCACACACACACACACACACACACTCTTGTATGTGATAGCTGTTCTCAATAAGCTCGTATTGTCATTTTAAGCTTAAAATCCTTAAAATTATTATTATTATTTATTTATTTTATTTTTTGCAGCAATGCCATAGAACATGCCAACACGGCTCCCCAAAGAACATTTCAGTGATCAGTTTATGTTCTTAAAAGAACAACTTTTTTCTTAGTGTGAAGAACATAAAAAAAAAAATTTGTAGAACCTTTTTCCACTATTAAGAAGCTTTTCTGGAATAGAAAGGTTCCATGGATTTTAAAGGTTCTTCATGAGATCAAAGATGCAGTAAAGAAACTTCATTTTTGACAGTGTAAAGTATGAATTTCTTTACAAAACATATTTAATTTTTATTTATTATATAAGAAGCATGCATATATGGACATTTCTTCAATACTGTTCGAAAAGCTCAGACTTTGCTAAGACTAGATCTCCATATTACGATTGCTCAAAATTAAAAGTTTGGATTCAAATAAACTCTCTAACCCTAAAATTTAACTTTATAGCACACTTACAATTTTAGCCTAATGGGTGACAAAAACGAGCAAAAAATGACTTAACCCTTTTGCTGTGCTGAAAATCCTTCACCTAATTTGGTGTTCCTGGTCAAAAATTACCTGCATTTGAAAAATTATTAGTAAATTGTGCTATATTATCACCAAATCTTGGATTCAATCTTTTTGTCAAATGTACTTATTTCACTAAATACAAGTTTTGTGTTTTTGGATTGAGGTGCAGAAACGAGGTGCATAAGCTCAGATCATGGAGGTCAACAAGTTGATAAAAAGACTGAATCCAAGATTTGGTAATAATATAGGAAAATTAGAAATTTACAAGCTATTTTTTTAGGCCGGTCATTTTTGACCAGGAACACCACATGTGTGGAAGGTGGGGAAAAAAATCCCAAAAAAGTAAAAAAAAAAAATTGTTTTTGGGAAGTTGTTATACCGTGTCAATACATTTTAGTCCAATGCAATGAAATTAACTAGCATTTTTAAGAAAAAGAAAATCCTCTCCAGATCAGAATGACTGGAAAACAACTAGAGGGTTAAACTAAAGGAGGGAGCTGAATCTTATTTAGAGACCAGACTTTGCACAGGCAAACACCACTCATAATTTCTTCAAAAGACACAATACTGTCGTTTTGATTACTTTACAACTACTCTAAAATGTGTAAAATAACAAAACTCACTGAGTGAAAAGTGTGTCCAACTTTCGATGAGTAGTGTACGTTCACCTGTATGTAAACGGCATGTTTGTAGTGCTCTCTCTTTGAGCGTGACTGACATTTGGTCCTTATCTCTCGCAGCCGTGTCTCTGTGAAACTCACATTCAGCTCAATCACGGCTGTTTCTGGACGGCCTGATTTTTCTCTGCAGGGACTCGTCTGCTGATCAGGATGAAAGAGGCAGAGAGACGCTCTTCACGCACCTGCTCATTTTCTCCTGTTGGTGTTTACTGCCAGAACAGAGTTCCTGTACCCGCCGGGCAAACGCAGAATCAACAACCAAACACACACAAACACACACACAGGCTGAAAGCAAAACCAATCAGGAAGTTTTGTGAAATATTTGAATATCTCTCAGATAATTGCTTTTTCTTCGTGCCAAAATATATGTGTATTTATGCATCCGTGTGTGTAGGTGATGGATATTTGATTTTTAAAATAAACACTGTCCCCATCAAAGAGAAGTTTTTATTTAGGATGGAATATGTTGATCTGAAGGTTGAGAAACTAGTGAATGTGTAAATGTGCACGTGTGTGCATCTGAAGGTTTAAACAACATTAATTGCATTACTTGGAAGTAGGGATGCACCGATACAGATACTGCGCTCCTGTACTCATACTCATTAAAATGCTCTGATACCAAAAAACGATCCCACACAGCATGTGAACAGTGCTGTATCCAAAGAAACACAACAGAACAAACAGAGAGCAGAATGGAGTTATTAGAGATTAAGGATGTCTATGAAGTACATTTCTGTCATGACAACTCTCGGAGGGATTGGCATTGTAATGTACATGACAATGTTAATGTATTTGGTCTTGGCGGAAATGCTGCTGTGAGCATGTAGGAAATACTGCTGCTGCACATATAACACGTATGAATACCCCCCATAGCATACATGAATCACCTCGTAGCAGATCTATACAGGTGGAGCTGGGGAAGGTGGAGGGTTTCTGAACTGCGCTGCGAACTGCTACAGCAAACAAAAGCCAGGTATCTGAATATTGAGCAGTGAGATCATTGGCTACTGATACAGGAGAAAACCAATCAGCTGTGCCATGTGATAATGATGTCATTAGATCAGATTGAGTTAGACCTATTGGACTGCGCCATCTAGTGTTTCATGCCAGAACTCTGTATTTCTGTCATAACAACTCTCGGAGTGATCGACATGGTAATTTACATGACAATGTTAATGTATTTGGTCTTGGCGGAATAGATCTGCTACGTTGCTGCTGCTGCGGCAGAGCAAGTACCGAGACATGTACTGCCAATACATCCACAACATGCTGCTGTGAGCATGCAGGAAATACTGCTGCTGCACATATAACACATATGAATAACCCCCATAAAGCAGGAGACACGGAACACAATACAATACAAGCCAATATATGCATGCCGCTGAATATAAGGATAAACTGCTGCATCAGTGGACATGCATGCATTCACGCACATGAAGATGAACAGACAAGGAAAGACAAGACACCCCCCAACAAAGCAGATCTATCGCCAAGACATATGCACTGCTGCTGCTCCAAGGAGCCATGTGAACCGCATGTGTTACTATCTATGTGTGCCTGGGCTACCACGCCGACCGGCTTAACACTACTGGCCTATGGCTATGTGAGCCTGGGCTACCACGCCGACCGGCTTAAAAGTAGTGGCCTATGGCTTTGTGAGCCTGGGCTACCACGCCGACCGGCTTAACACTAGTGGCCTATGACTATGTGAGCCTTGGCTACCACGCCGAATGTGTGCCTGGGCTACCACGCCGACCGGCTTAA